TGTACCACTATATATTTTCCTCTCAGGACTGCCTTTGCTGTGTCCCACAGATTTTGAACCATTGTGTTTTCATCATCATTTGTTTCCATGGATTTTTTCAATTCTTCTTTAATTTCCTGGTTGACCCATTCATTCTTTAGAAGGATGCTGTTTAGTCTCCATGTATTTGGGTTCTTTCCAAATTTCCTCTTGTGATTGAGTTCTAGCTTCAGAGCATTGTGGTCTGAAAATATGCAGGGAATGATCCCAATCTTTTGATACCGGTTGAGACCTGATTTAGGACCGAGGATGTGATCTATTCTGGAGAATGTTCCATGTTCACTAGAGAAGAATGTGCATTCTGTTGCTTTGGGATGGAATGTTCTGAATATATCTGTGATGTCCATCTGGTCCAGTGTTTCATTTAAGGCCTTTATTTCCTTGTTGATCTTTTGCTTGGACGATCTGTCCATTTCAGTGAGGGGAGTGTTAAAGTCCCCTACTATTATTGTATTACTGTTGATGTGTTTCTTTGATTTTGTTATTAATTGGTTTATATAGTTGGCTGCTCCCACGTTAGGGGCATAGATATTTAAAATTGTTAGATCTTCTTGTTGGGCAGATCCTTTGAGTATGATATAGTGTCCTTCCTCATCTCTTATTATTTTGGCTTAAAATCTAATTGATCTGATATAAGAATTGCCACCCCTGCTTTCTTCTGATGTCCATTAGCATGGTAAATTGTTTTCCACCCCCTCACTTTAAATCTGGAGGTGTCTTCGGGTCTAAAATGAGTTTCTTGTAGGAAACATATAGATGGATTTTTTTTTATCCATTCTGATACCTTGTGTCTTTTGACTGGGGGCATTTAGCCCATTAACATTCAGGGTAACTATTGAGAGATATGAATTTAGTGCCATTGTATTGCCTCTAAGGTGACTGTTACTGTATATTGTCTCTGTTTCTTTCTGACCTACTACTTTTAGGCTCTCTCTTTGCTTAGGGGACCCCTTTCAATATTTCCTGTAGAGCTGGTTTGGTGTTTGCAAATTCTTTCAGTTTTTGTTTGTCCTGGAAGCTTTTTGTCTCTCCTTCTATTTTCAATGATAGCCTAGCTGGATATAGTATTCTTGGCTGCATGTTTTTCTGGTTTAGTGCTCTGAATATATCATGCCAGCTCTTTCTGGCCTGCCAGGTCTCTGTGGATAAGTCTGCTGCCAATCTAATATTTGTACCATTGTATGTTACAGACTTTTTTTCCCGGGCTGCTTTCAGGATTTTCTCTTTGTCACTAAGACTTGTAAATTTTCTATTAGGTGATGGGGTGTGGACCTATTCTTGTTGATTTTGAGGGGGGTTCTCTGCACCTCCTGGATTTTGTTGCTTGTTCCCTTTGCCATATTAGGGAAATTCTCTCCAATAATTCTCTCCAATATACCTTCTGCTCCCCTCTCTCTTTCTTCTTCTTCTGGAATCCCAATTATTCTAATGTTGTTTCGTCTTATGGTGTCAATTATCTCTCGAATTCTCCCCTCGTGGTCCAGTAGCTGTTTGTCCCTCTTTTGCTCAGCTTCTTTATTCTCTGTCATTAGGTCTTCTATATCGCTAATTCTTTCTTCTACCTCATTTATCCTAGCAGTGAGAGCCTCCATTTTTTATTGCACCTCATTAATAGCTTTTTTGATTTCAACTTGATTAGATTTTAGTTCTTTTATTTCTCCAGAAAGGGCTTTTATATCTCTCGAGAGGGTTTCTCTAATATCTTCCATGCCTTTTTCGAGCCTGGCTAGAACCTTGAGAATCGTCATTCTGAACTCTAGATCTGACATATTACCAATGTCTGTATTGATTAGGTCCCTAGCTTCAGTACTGCCTCTTGTTCTTTTTTTTGTGGTGAATTTTTCTGCCTTGTCATTTTGTCCAGATAAGAGTATATGAAGGAGCAAGTAAAGTACTAAAAGGGTGGCAAAGACCCCAGGAAAATACGCTTTAACCAAATCAGAAGAGATCCCAAATCATGGGGGGGAGAAAGGGGATAAAAAGAGGTTCAGAAAAAAAAAGAAACAATTAAAAAAAGAAAATGAATAAAGAAAAAATATAAAAAAGAAAAAAAATATATATATTAGATAAACTAGTTAAAAAACGTTAAAAAAGAAAAGGGTAAAAGTTAAAAAAATTTAGCAGAAGAAGAAAAAAAATTGAAAAAAAATTAAAATTACTGCAAGACTAAAGAATCATGCGGAGAAAGCCATGAGTTCCGTGCTTTGCTTTCTCCTCCTCTGGAATTCCGCTGCTCTCCTTGGTACTGAAACTGCACTCCTCGTAAGTGAACTTGGTCCTGGCTGGGTTTCTTGTTGGTCTTCTGGGGGAGGGGCGTGTTGTAGTGATTCTCAAGTGTCTTTGCCCCAGGCGGAGTCGCACCGCCCTTACCCGGGGCCGGGCTGAGTAATCCGCTCGGGTTCGCTTCCGGGAGCTTTTGTTCCCTGAGCGCTTTCCGTAGAGTCCGGAGGACGGGAATGAAGATGGTGGCCGCCCAGTCTCCGGCCCGGAGGAGCTGAGAGCCCGGGGCCCCACTCCTCAGTGCGCCCTCAGAGAACAGCGCCCAATTGCTCCCGTCACCCTGGCCTCCGGCCGCGCTCCGAGCTGACCGAGCCTGCGACCGGTTCAAGGTAACCCCGAGCTGTGAGCTCACTCCTCGGCTCCGTCTCTGTAGCCGGCTTCCCTGTTCTAATACCTGTGAGCTCTGCGACACTCAGACACCCCGATCCTTCTGTGACCCTGCGGGACCTGAGGCCACGCTGGCCCCGTGAGGGCTTCACCCCGGTTTAGCCTCCGGAGCGATGTCCCTCAGCGGAACAGACTTTTAAAAGTCCTGATTTTGTGCTCCGTGGCTCCGCCGCTTGCCGGGAGCCGGCCCCTCCCCCCGCGGTCTATCTTCCGTCGCTTTGGATTCACTTCTCCGCCAGTCCTGCCTTTCAGAAAGTGGTTGATTTTCTGTTTCTAGAATTGCTGTTCTTCTTCTCTTTGATCTCCCGTTGGACTTGTAGGTGTTTGCAGTCTTTAGATAAGCTATCTAGCTGATCTCCCGCTGCCTGAAGTAGTCTCAGCTGCTACTTCTCCGCCGTCTTGACTCCTCTCAATAAATAAAATCTTTAAAAAAAAGATTTTATTTATTTATTTGAGAGAGAGTGTATGAGCATGAGCAGGGGGAATGGCAGAGAAAGAAGCTGACTTCCTGCTGAGCAGGGAGCCAGGCATGAAGTTCTATCCCAGGACCCTGAGATCATGATCTGAGCCAAAGACACTTAACCAACTGAACCACCCAGATGCCCTCAAAGGAAATCTTTCAATAAGTCTAACAAAAATCAGAAATAACAAAAAAGAATTGGTAGCAATTTTTCTTTCTTAATAAGTCTTAAAGTAAGAAAGCTACCTCTGTAGGGAGAATCTGGGACTCCCATTTTTGCTTTATCCAGTTTTGTATTGTTTGAATTTGTTACAAAGAACATGTTTTACTTTCTTAATTAAGATGGTCTTTTAATCTTTACAAATAATTGTTTAACTTCAATAAATTCTCTCCATGTTGTTTCACTAGTGAGTTCTAACAACATTTCAAAGTCCAGATAATTTCTTGATGGTTTAAAGCATCTCAGACATAAAGAAAGATGGAGGGCATTTCAATTGTTTTCTTGAGTTAGCACAGTTCTTCTTCTTTTTTTTTTTTTTAATGTTATGTTAGTCACCATATAGTACATCGTTAGTTCTTGATGCAGTGTTCCAAGATTCATTGTTTGCATATAACACCCAGTGCTCCATGCAATCTGTGCTCTCCTTAATATCCACTACCCTGCTCACCCACAATTCTTACACAAGAACCTAATAAAACATAAGAATCTGCCCCCCAATTCTATTTACGGACATAGATACAAAATAACCAAAAGTACTGTTACTAAGTTGAGTCCATCAGCATGTGAAAAGAGAGTCACCCCATGAAAACACTGGGGGTGATGCCGTGCTGTGAGTGCTGTCACATGAGACCCTGTCTGCAGCCAGCACCATGCAGCAGACCCAAGAGAAAAGTCACAGGATTATCTCAGTTAGAAAACTATTTTATCATCTCAACACTCATCCAAGGTACTCTTTGTTAACTAGGGAGGCAAGAAGGTGGCTCCAGTGTGACTGACTCTTTGCCACAAACTACCAACAACAGACGTGATGGAGAGCCTGCTGAAGGACCTCATTCCCACCAGACCAGTCTTGTCGTCACCATTCGTTAGCATTGTCCTAGAAGGTCCAGGCAATTGAATAAGATACAAGACGAACAAAAAAGGCTTTGCTTCTGAAAAGAAGTACTCAAAAATGTCACTATTTTCAAAAGATATGTATTCCTGTATTTAGAATTTGATGTTATTTGGGTGCTCAGCAGCATTACGGCCAGAGGCCCTTGGAACAGTGGGACCTTGCCCCAGAGCACAGCTGCACCCCTGTGTGGTCCAGGCTCACCAGGGCCTGCCCTCGGGCTCCCTCCCCACATGTACATCCTCGGGAAATGTGTACAGACACAGCTGTTCTCAGCCAGTGGAAGCCTGAGCAGATGTGAAGACTCTTGCTGCATGAGATCCAGTACTCTGCTATGGAGGCACTCACCAGCACATAATTGATGCTGCCTTATATCTGGCCCCTAAGCCACCCCTGTAAACATAACCTGAACCCCCTGTCCAAACTACTGTGATCTTCTGACCCAAGGTCCAGCGTGGTATTTCCCTGGATGCTGTTGGCTGACTTTGGTGCAGGTGCCAGCACCCAGGGTTGATAGATACTGAACATCATAAGGTGGCTGCCAGGATAGAGTTTCTCTGATGCAACCACCACAGGAGTCAGCTTTTGAAATGATGGCCAACAGTAGCTAATAATAAACTAATATGCTGGGTGAGAGGAAAGGAAGATGGGATTGGTTGGCTGGTCACCCTCCTTCCCAAGGGTACATTATAAAAGCTGTGGCTTCAGAGCATTTGCACAAGTCATCAGTGACCCCAAAGTCACCATGGCTGCCTTGGGCATCACAGTTGCCCTGTTGGTGTGGATGGCCACCCTAATGCTTATATCTATCTGGAAACAGATCTACAGCAGCTGGAAACTGCCCCCTGGCCCTTTTCCACTGCCCATTATTGGGAATCTTCTTCAGTTAGATATGAAGAATGTTCCAAAGTCTTTCACCAAGGTAAGAGAAATATTGTTAGTTAGGGGAGGAGAATTCAGAGATTAGACATAGTATGTGTGCATTCAATTCACTGTCAGACAAGTTGTTATTCAATTCCAGCCCGTTATGAGTGAACTGACTTAACAGTAGCATCCAAGAGGGATATTAAAGATATTTAGTTAGTGGTACATCTTGGACCTTGAGCTCTTGAGTGGGCATTGGCCATGGCTGGCCCCAGAAGCCTGCTTGAGTCATGGGTTAAATGCTTTGTCAGTGGATGGCTAGGTGAGGCCAGTGTGTCTGGGGCTGCTGCTGTTCACCATCCCAATGTAAGGAGGGCCATGTGTTCCCACCAGATGCACACTGTAGATGCCAAAGAACAGGGTGAAAAGTGGTGTCAACCCACCTCTGGTGTAGTACCTCTGTCCACAGCTGTTGTGAATAGTGAATGAGCTAACGAACTAAAAACTGAATGAGTTGCTAAATCTATTCCATTAGTTAATAAAAGAATGCCATAAGGCACCTAACATGTGGGGAAAGCGTTTGAGGTAAGGGAAATGTTGACAGTGCTTTGTGTACCATGGAGGATGGACTTGTGGAGGTCAGGACAGTGCTGACTCAGGGTCCTCCTGCAGCACCGTGGGGTCTGGGACTTCGGGGATGGCAGACAGTGAGGGTGATGGGGCATATGTTGGCAAAGGATCCTCAGGGGTGGGACAGGAGCCAGCCCACCAAGTTAATTTTGTCAAGGAGCCCAGGCATTCTGGACCCTTGCTCCCTGCAGAAGAAAGTCTCTATGTGAAGGGTCTTCCCAAGTCAGGCTGGACAAAGACTGTCTTTTCCCAGATCCCTCTGTGTTCTCTTGGTCAACAACAACTTTGGGTTTTAAGCCTGGCCTACCTCCTCCCTGAGTTCCCAGTGGTCTCACTTGGCTCCTTGCTTGTCTCTGCAGCTAGCAGAGCGGTACGGGCCGGTATTCACCTTGTACCTGGGCTCCCAGCGCACTGTGGTCCTGCATGGCTACAAGGCGGTGAAGGAAGCTCTGCTTGACCACAAGAATGACCTTTCTGGCAGAGGAGAAATCTTTGCATTCCAGTTGCACAAAGACAGAGGTGAGCCCCACTTTTCAGAGGACCCCTATGGTGGGTGGGAGCCAGGGAAATACCAGGGACGATGACCACATAGCACAGCGTACAACAAAACGGAAGAGTAAAGAGACCCTCAACAGTTCAGGTGCTTAGGACAGACTTTATTGAAACCTTCTATGACAGACTTGTAACCAAAAAAACCAGGACCTCCCGCATCATCACTCTGACCAGCAGGACAGCTGTGTTATAGAGAAATACCACAGAGGGAAATGCCTCTGGTGGATGAGCTGTGCTTTCCTCTCACAGAGCTTCCAGCCTCCTGGGGCCACAGTCTGGGAAGCTCTTCTCACTTCCAGTGCCCCCTGCTTCTGGGTGTTGGTGCTCCATTCCCCGAGGCCCCTCACCTAAAACCAGGCACTGATGCCCCCGAGGTATCCCGCTTGTCTGTGGGCCTGTGGGCAGCCGCAGTTCACATTCTAACCCTGGAGGCCTCTGATATGTCACCTGTGCTGTTCTGAGCACATCAGCCCCAGCTCGCAAAGGGACTTCCAAGGGATCCCGTCTTGCCAGCCTCACCTCTCTTTCTTTGCAGCCTATGTCTCCAGAGCCTGGGTTCCCATATCTAGAATAGGCAGTTACCTCGTATTAGGGATCTGGTGGTCTGAGTGTTTATCGGAGTCTTTACCTGAGTGTCATCCAGACTCCCGACTCCAGTGTCTACCTCCTGTGTCTCCTGGGACATCCTGGAGCCCCTGCGGGCACCTGCTCATAGCTCCTCCAGCTCACAGCCCTGTGAACTTGCTGCCCACCACTGCCTGTCTCCTGACCATGTATGCTGATTCTTTTCCACTTGCTCACTGTCATTTTAGCATCCATATTCATCAGGGATATTAGTCTGAAATTCTCTTTTTTGGTGGGGTCTTTGCCTGGTTCAGGGATCATGGTAATGCTGGCTTCATTAAAAGAGTCTGGAAGTTATCCTTCTGCTTCAATTTTTGGAAAAAGCTTCAGGAGAATAGGTATTATTTCTTCTTTGAAAGTTTGGTAGAATTCCCCAGGGAATCTTTCAGGTCCCAGGCTCTTGTTTTTTTGGGAGGTTTTTGATCACTGCTTCAATCTCATTACTAAATATTGGTCTATTCAGGTTGTCAATTTCTTCCTGATTCAATTTTGGAAGTCTATAGGTTTAAGGAATGTATCCATTTCTTCTAGGTTGCTTAACTTATTGGCACATAACTGTTGATAATAATTTCTGATGATTGTTTCTGTTTCCTTGGTGTTAGTCGTAATCTCTTTTCATTCATAATTTTATTAATTTGGGTCTTCTCTCTTTTCTTTTGGATTAGTTTGGCCAATGGTTTATTGATCTTACTGATTCTTTCAAAAAACCAGCTTCAAGTTTCATTGATGTGTTCTACTGTATCCCTAGTTTCTATCTCATTGATCTCTGCTTTTATCTTGATTATTTCCCTTCTTGTGTGTGGAGTTGGCTTAACTTGTTTTTGATTCTCTAGTTCTTTAAGGTGTAAAGAGAGCTGCTGTATTTTGGATTTTTCCAATTTTTTTGAGGGAGGCTTGGATGGCTATGTTTTCCCCCCTTAGGACTGCCTTTGCTGTATCCCATAGGTTTTGGACCAAAGTGTCTTCATTCTCATTGGTTTCCATGAATTGTTTAAGATCTTCTTTGATTTCCTGGTTGATCCAAACATTCTTAAGCAAGGTGGTCTTTAGCTTCCAGGTGTTTGAATTCCTTCTGAACTTTTCCTTGTGGTTGAGCTCCAGTTTCAAATCAATATGATCTGAGAATATGCAGGGAATAATCTCAATATTTCGGTATTGGTTGAGCCCTGATTTGTGACCCAGTATGTGGTCTATTCTGGAGAATGTTCCATGTGCACTTGAGAAGAATGAGTATTCTGTTGTTTTAGGGTGGAATGTTCTGTATATATCTATGAGTTCCATCTGGTCCAATATGTCATGCAGTGCTCTTGTCTCTTTATTGATTTTCTGCTTGGATGGTCTGTCTGTTACTGAGAGTGGTGTGTTAAGATCCCCTACTATTAATGTATTAATATCAATATGATTCTTTATCTTGATTAACAGATGTCTTATGTAGTTGGCTGCTCCCATATTGAAGGCATAAATATTTACAACTGTTAGATCTTCTTGGTGGATAGACCCTTTAAGAATGATGTGGTGTCCTTCTGTACCCATTCTCAACAAGATCCTAGCTAATAGAATCCAACAGTACATTAAAAAGATTATCCACCATGACCAGGTGGGATTTATCCCTGGGTTGCAAGTGTGGTTCAACATTAACAAATCAATCAATGTGATAGAACAAATTAGTAAGAGAAGAGAGAAGAACCACATGGTCCTCTCAATTGATGCAGAAAAAACATTTGACAAGATATAGCATCCGTTCCTGATTAAAACGCTTCAAAGTATAGGGATAGAGGGAACATTCCTCAACTTCATAAAATCTATCTGTGAAAAACCCACAGCAAATATCATCCTCAATGGGGAAAAGGGGACAGCCTTCCCATTGAGATCAGGAACACGACAAGGATGTTCACTCTCACCACTCTTGTTCAACATAGTATTAGAAGTCCTAGCAACAGCAATCAGACAAGAAAGAGAAATAAAAGGTATTCAAATTGGCAATGAAGAAGTTCGACTCTCTCTCTTTGCAGATGGCATGATAGTTTATATGGAAAACCCAAAAGACTCCATCCCCAAACTACTAGAACTCATAAAGCAATTCGGTAATATGGCTGGATACAAACTCAATGCACAGAAATCAATTGTTTTCTTATACACAAATAATGAAAATACAGAAAGGGAACTTAGAGAATCAATTCCATTTACTATAGCACCAAGAACCATAAGATACCTGGGAATAAACCTAACCGAAAATGTATAGGATCTGTACTCTAGGAATTACAGAACACTCATGAAAGAAATTGAAGAAGACACAAAAAGATGGAAGACCATTCCATGCTCATGGATTGGAAGAATAAACATTGTTAAAATGTCTATACTGCCTAGAACAACCTATACTCTCAATGCCATTCTGATCAAAATTCCACCGACATTTTTCAAAGAACTGGAGCAAACAATCCTAAAATTTGTATGGAATCAGAAGAGACCCTGAATTGCTAAGGAAATGTTGAAAAAGAAAAACAAAACTGGGGGCATCATGTTGCCAGATTTCAAGCTTTACTACAAAGCTGTGATCACCAAGATAGCATGGTACTGGCTCACGTAGTTTTAGTGAAATTCTAAAGTAGATGAGGAAGAAAGCAGTGTCCTGTCTACCCTACAAAACCCAGAAACCTCTAGTTTTTCCTTAGTTAACTTTGGTGACAAATCTCTAGAAAACCTGTATCCACTTTATGTAGAAATTTCCAACTGATGTGCTTACAGCTGTGTCTGCTGTTCTTATGTGCCGTCCCCTCATTCCCATCTACTTGCAGAAGGTCGAACCCTGTCACTGTCAGTGGCATCTGATTTTCTTTCTTGGACATTGTGGGCTGGTTTTACATCTTTGGGGTTGCCGAAAGCAAAGTTAACTTCCTCAGTTTTTATCATTAACATAAGAGGAGCTTTGCTGCCCCACAAGAGCAGGAGTTGTGGGGTCAAGGAGCTCCATCCTGGTTCCAGGGAACCCTTACCTGCCACCCCTGGTCCAAGTCATGGGCCTATGAATGCAGCCAGGCAGGGGCCATATTCACATTCTATGCGTTGGACTCATGGGGCTTTGTCCTGTCCTGCCTGTGGTTCCCAAGTCCTATTTTCACATGTGCCACGTGGCCCAGACCCTGTCCATGGGACACCTCTGATGCCCTAGACATAATGATGCAAATGTTAACTGTCAACATTGTACTGAGCACAGGGACCACATTAATTCCAATAAATTTCACTTCAGTGAATGTTTGTGAGGCGCTGACCCAGAAGCATTACTGTCTCTATTTCAGCCTGTTTGGGGTTCCAAAGTCTTAGCTCCTCTGGGATCTCCCTCTCTGTTTCTCTATCTCTGTCTGTTTCTCTGCCTCTGTGTTTGTCTCTCTGTCCCCCCCCTCTCTCTGTCTCTTTGTCTCTGTCTTTGTTCATATGTCTCTCTGTCTTTGTCAGTGTTTTTCTTTCTTCTCCTTGTTTATTCCTCTGTCTCTCTGTGTCTCTGTCTTGTCTCTCTGTCTCTGTTTTATCTCTTTGTCTATGTCTCTGCCTTTGTCTCTCTTTCTTTGTCTTGTCATTCTGTCTCTCTTTGTCTCTGTCACTGTCTCTCAGTCTTGTTTCTTTGTCTCTGTCTTATCTATTTGTCTCTGTCTCTCTGTCTCTCTTTGTCTCTGTCATTCTGTCTCTGTTTCTGTCTCAGTCTCTTGTCTCTCTGTCTCAATCTCTTTCTCCAACTCTTTCTCTCTGTCTCCCCTTTGTCCCTCTGTCTCTCTCTGTCTCTGTCTTGTTTCTCTGTCTCTGTCTCTGTCTCTGTCTCTCTGTCCATTGCTTACATATTCTGGCCTCTCCCACCTTCCCCCCGCTATACAATTCTTTCCAGAACCATCTTAAAATTGTCTGTCTCCTTGCCCACCCCCCCAGCCACCATGTCACAGCCATTTAGGTCCACTGGGCACTCCCACTTTCTGCGTTCCCTGCCAGCTTCTCAACCCTTAGCCCATAGCTCTGGCCTCTGGCCTGCCAAGGGCACACTCTCTAGTGTCCCCCGCTTGTCTGCCCCATGTCCCGGGGCAGGATCTGTCTGCTGCAGCCACTGGAGGATGGAGCCACTGGAGCCCACTGCTGAGAGACATCAGTGGACCCCACAGACACGTGGGAGTATGGTCACACATGCCTGGGATCCCTCTTGGGCTGCCCAGCTATGTCCCCGGCATCCACCTAGCAGGCTCCACAGGGTCCTGCAGGCACCCAAAGCTCCTCATGCACAGACCCAAATGCAGGAACCCAAATGCCATCTCTCAATGGACGGCCCCTCTAAGGAGGACCCTGGGTGCCATGTACCCTCCAAGCACTCCCACCCAGTCAGGGGCCATGCTGTCCAGCCAGCTGTTGTCTCTATCTCATGTTCTCTTTGGGTGGAACTGGACCCTAGTGTGACCAGTGATGCCCCCCCGCCTCATCTCACACCTCCATCCCCCTCCCCGCCTCATTTCACACCTCCTGGTCCCTCCCTGCCTCATCTCACACCTCCTGGTCCC